GAAGCAGTGGAGGAGAAAGCTGAAAAGTACATGGGAGCTGTGTTGCAGTGGGTTTTGTTTGGATTTTTTTTTGGGAACACAGGAAGGAGTCATGAAAGCTTCTGACCATTACTATGTAAAGATTGATCTGAAGGCAGTCTGCCTTCAGCTGGAGTTGGAGACCAGCCTGGGCAACATTGTGATAACCTGTCTCTACAAAAAATACAAAAATTAGCTGGGCGTGGTGGTGTGTGTCTGTAGTCCCAGCTACTTGGAGGCTGAGGTAGGAGGACAGTTTGAACCCAAAAGACGAAGGTTGTAAGGTGAGCCCAGGAGCTGATATGGTGCCACTGCACTCCAGCCTGGGAGGCAAAGCCAGATCCTGTCTAAAAAACAAAAAACAAAATCTCTTCAACTGAAGAGAGGAGAGGAAGAAAATATAGGCAAATAGGAAGAAATGAAAAACTAGAGAGAATGGAAAATGGAGATATGTTTGCAATTGATAGGTTCAAATTTACGGCTATAAAACCATGATTTCAGAAACCTAACGGTTCAGTGTCTCATCTCCTACTTTCAGTTGAGCTTAGAGAAAGCGAAGTATGTCTCCTTTCTTCATCCTTGTATTCCTAGTACCTCGTATAGGGCCTGACATATTCAGTGACCAATAAATATTTGTTGGATGAATAAATCAATATACTCTTTTAAATTCAACTCCAGGCCAGGCGTGGTGGCTCATGCTTGTCATCCAAGCACTTTGGAGGCCAAGGCGGGCGGATCACCTGAGGTCTGGAGTTCAAGACCAGCCTGACCAACACGGTGAAACCCCGTCGTTATTGAAAAAAAAAAAAAAAAAAAAAAAATTCAAGTCCACAGCTGAATAGAAACTCTCTGACAACATCACTGAAGCAATATAGTAAGAAATGCTATCCTCAAATGCACTTAGAACATCTTTTTTGGGGTTATCAGAATAAAAAAGAAAGTGGTAGAAATAAAAAAGTATTTATATAGCACAAGGGCCAGTGAGTAAGCCATGTAAATAGACTCAATAAACAACAATAAAAATTTCAATAAATCAACTAACCCCAAATTCCCCTTCCTTCCCCTGAGTATTGCTTCCTCATACTCATTTTTATTTTCTAGTTTCACTCACTGTAATATTTTTCAGGCTGAAATCATACCCTCAGGCACAACTTAGCATACTGGTTGTACTTGTGATTTAAGAAATGAAAGTCGGCCGGACACGGTGGCTCACACCTGTAATCCCAGCACTTTGGGAGGCCGAGGTGGGCAGATTATGAGGTCAAGAGATCGAGACCATGGTGAAACCCCATCTCTACTAAAAAATACAAAAATTAGCTGGGCGTGGTGATGTGTGCCTGTGGTACCAGCTACTCAGGAGGCTGAGGCAGGAGAATTGCTTAAAACCGGGAGGCGGAGGTTGCAGTGAGCCGAGATTGCACCACTGCACTCCAGCCTGGCACCTGGCAACAGAGCAAGACTCTGACTCAAAAAAAAAAAAAAAAAA